CACTGGTAAATGCCACAAAATGAAGTGTGTGGTGTCTCAGACCTCCGCTGCTGAAAGCAGAAACCTCACCTCCAGTGCCAACAGGTTCAAAGCACTTCCAGAGGTACAGGGGCCCCAAACCCAAGACCCCTGTTAGCTGTGCTGTAGCACAACAACAATGCGGTTACAGCACAGAAGAGAGAAGACTTCTTGTTTAAGACCATAGAGAAGAACGTTTTGTAAAACCGGACTGTAAGACACAAAAGGAACGACTCAGAACCAGGAGGTTTATTGACCCTCCAAAATGTAGGAGTAATGTTGTATAGCTTTTAATGTACAACAAAATCCTTCAGTGGCCCAGGCTTAGTTGGAATAAATACTGTTGCAAAGGAGGTTCAAACCACAAATGATGGAAAAAATCCACATTTGCAAGAAGGAATTATTCAACTTGAATAATTTGTCTACCTTTCAGTACAGGATGACTGCTGAGATACCTTTATAATACCAAATATGGGAATTTTTCACCACATGAGGGAATAAAAAGGCGAAGATAAAGACTAAATCAATCACCAATAAAATGAATATTTAAAAAGTCAGCTTCCTACATGTTTCATCTGACACCATCCTTTAAATCAGACATCTTCTCTAATTTACCACTGCCTAACAGAGAAACCTCAGGGAAGTGCCTGTAAACACAGAGGTTCAGAGGGATACGGAAAGGATTGATCTCCTCTTTGTCTGTGGTGGAGCATTACCATAAGGAAGCCATGAAGGTCTCAACGAACAATGGTGTTACACGAGGTATCAGAGCAGGTTATTAAACCTTTTGCAGTCATCATCAACCAAAGTTTACCTTAAATTGAAAATAAACATTTTCCAGTCTCTAACAAATCAAATTCCTTCAGTTTTTCTGATTTCTGCTTTAGACCCCTTGTAAACAAGACAGGAGGAAGGGAGGCTGCCATGGCCACTGCTGTTCAGCACTTCTCCTTTCTGACCAATCTACATTTAAGTAAAATTTAAATGCTCTTTACCACATTGAATTTTAGTCCCCATTAAGCAAAATTCGAGGCCAGTTAATCTCAGGGAATTCTCCTGACTGAAGGGCTGTTTTCCCTTGACGTCCAGGCACAGGGCATACTGTTATTAGAGGGAGACCATACAAATGTAATTAAATACATTCGGTAGTATTTTAAGCTGTTTTAAAATGCACAAATTAAAATTTAAAATAAGTGTACTAAAATTAGAAATTCTTTAGAAAGGAGGTCGTTGCCATACTTGTTACCATCTGCAAGGGACTTCCATCTTTTACATTAACATTTCTTAAGCTTCCGAGCCAGGGAGAGCTTAACTGGGCTGGTTGTACTTCTGTGGAGAGCGTCACACTCAGACTTTACAGACACAAACAGCACAAGCCATATGTGCAAACAGAAAACACATGGCCAGAATCATTTGAACATACACGTCTGCAAAAGACGTTATTTCCTTTCCTATGCCATTCAGAGGACTGAAAGATGCTCAGCCGTGCTGTATGGAATTAGTCCGAAGCCATCGGCATCAATAAATAATAGTTACCCTGGCACCTGAAAAATAACTAGAATAAATAGCTAGAATTTTTATTTGGTAAATACTAAGGGGGAACTGTTTCTAAAGAGAGATTACACCTTGTTAGCTGTTATAACCTGCAAGCCTCTGGGTGCCTGTAGTGCAAAACTACCAAAATGACCACCTGCAAAGATTACCCCTCTACTCTAACAGCCTGTCTGCTGTGTACGTAGGGTCTGCTGAAAACGTGTCCTGGCACGAGAGGGCAAGCTGGGGAGGAGGCAGCTTGTAGCTGCGTTTGGAAGTCTTCTTTTGACCACAACCATATTTTGGATTTAGTTTTGCTGCTGGAGATGAGTACAGCACACAGGCAGGCACAGCTGGTTTGACAGCCTGCAGTGCAGCTGTGCCTTTGCCAAGATCTCTCCCAGAAGAGGGCAAAAATGCAGGGATTCCCCTTAGAAACCTGGTGAGGGCAAAGTTCATTCACTGGCACTGGGCTTGGCTTGATGTGACAATTTAACTTCATTCAGAGTTGTAGGAAGTCAACAAAATGGAAAGGTTCCTATCAGAGCTGGTTATTTTGAAAGCCTGAGCATATATACCCTGCATCTCCCTTGGCAAAATCTGACAAAAGAGGATGCTACCGAAGACCAAATAAACTCCAATTTGCTTGAAGTAAATTTGATGGCTGTACAGTTCTTTTGTGCATAATGCTGCATCTTCCTACCACATCTGTTACTCTAAAGGCCACCTAACATTTTTCTAAAAGTCTAAAGTGAGATATCAACAAATGTATTCCTTTCTGTCCAATAAAGAAAAACCCTAGTTTAATTTGAAAGGAGATTAATGGATTAGTACTAACTCACTTGTTTAAAACAATCTTTGTCTGACTATATATGGAACTATTTTCCATAAGCTAAGCCTGCATAGATAGACTTGACTTGGAAATTAAAAACTGTACCTATCAGAGATAAATAACTTCAAAAACTTACTTTATATTAAAGGGCTTCACATCATTGCAAAGCTAAACATGAATGACTACAACTTGTCTTTCTCTATTCTGACTAAACAAAAAAAGCAGTGTCTTTCTAGGTGTGAAATTACAATTTGCTCGAAGGTTACTTCCTCCCTTGATTAAAATGACTAAATAATGCATCGTACATGAACCACAGAGCTTTTAAAATCCTGTTGTGAAGCCATTAACAATTCAGGCCTGGATGTCTACCACATCCATTACACGAAGGTGCAATCCCATCCCATGCTGGATGGACGGACCTGCTCACATCGGCCTATTCTGCGCTTCTCTCCATCTCACTGCAACGCCAGTGAGGCTCAGTGACTGTACTTCACTGATGGCCCCTATCTTGAAAAAGGAAAAAAGGACTGGGTTTCAGTGTTTTGTGTTTTGTTTAATTTGTTGAGAATTGCCTCATTTTCACAGTGGGGACAGCTTTTATCATACGATGTGGCATGAGCCTTTCCCTCCGAAACATCAGGGCTCTCCCCTGCAAGGTGCCAGGAGCCAACAGCTCCCATTGAAATCAATTACGGTTGAGTCAATGGAGCTGAGAGTACTTAAAGTCATTCAGGAAGCACTCAGGACTCGGTAACGATGATGGCATCATGTAATTTAATTAATACAGTTAGATAACCTGATTCTTTCAAGCAGGAATTAAAAAAATGTTTCATTTTCAAAGGCAATTTAGAAAACATAACATCAAACCACTCTATTCCTTATAACCAAGAACATATTTATTTTATAGCTTCTACATTAGAGGCCATTAGCGTGGACTTTTCATGTAATGCAGCAAGTTTATTTAGGATGTACATTAGCCATCCTTTCATTCTGATGTATTAAATCAATGCATCTAGTAATGTATATTTAGAGAAGAAAGTACTTACACTGCAGGATATTTGAACAGTATCAATAGATCAGTTGGTTATAAATTATTTTAATATCCTCTTCATAAAACTGAAATAGTCTATGAGGGGAAAAAAACTTAACAACCTAAAGTCTGAGAGAACGGATGGCTAAATAAAGGGTACATAAGACTCCACTGAGTAAAGGAGCAGCGCATGGTGTCCGCCGCTGTCAGTCACTTGGGTCCGTTAGGACACAAACGATGCTGTACCCACCCTGTGGCAGGTAGGTTCTGCAGGGCGTTCGCTGGAGCACGGCTGCACTGCCATGCTTTGACTTCGAACCAGTCTGCAAGCTGATTGTACATTTTAAAATTTTTTTTTAGGATCTGGATAATAGTCAAGGGATGACTTAAAAGAGGCATGGATGAGTTTATACTGAGACACTGAATGCTATAAAAAAGCATGGCAAACACAAAAAGATGGTGACTTCAAATAAATACTGAGACAAGACCCAAAACATGCATCATGGGAATACGGGTGTTATGTTTGTTCCCATATCCTTGGGAAAGCCAGCAACAGTTAAGGGATACAGTCCTGCAAATCAGCCATGCCCTCAGGAGACTGTGTGAAACGTAAGGCAAGTGTCTGCGATGGCAGCGGAGAAAAAATCATCCCAAAGCCCAGAAAGTGTTGGTGGCTTGCCGGGCTTTCATGCAAAGACTTCCCTCTTGGAGAGAGCTCCCTCCCGCAGGGAGTTTTCCTCTTTTCCAAGCAACACAATCCATTTTAACCCCTTCGACAAGTTTCCAGACACACTGGAGGAATACTCCGAAGCCATAAGCATGTAGCTATTGCCTTTGAGACTCAAACTGTAGCACCTGAGACTCAAATGGTTCGATTCGGTGATTGAAGGCTGACCAGCACACGCAAAGACCCAGTGAGGATCAGATGAGCAATGACGGGTGAGGACCCCCAGTAACTGACGGAGGCCTGTAACTGGTAACGGGAGCCTGCTGAGTCCCTGCTCGCGGGGCCACCGAAGGAGGAGCACCAGCGCCTGTCCTGGGGGAAAGCCACCAAGGTGGCTCACGGAGAGGAACCCCTTCTGGAACACCTTGCAGAGTGAAGGGGGTCATTGCCTACAGGGTGTAGGACTCACTATGGGAGGCAGAAGAAAGAGCATTTTGGGATTGTGTAAAGCTCATTATGAGATGCTTACGGGAACTAGCAAAGGCAGGGAAAGGGGGGGACCAAGGTGGATCTGTAAGGAACAAATGGCAGGGAAATAGAGGCATGGGCCAAGAAACATAACTGCCTTGTAGCATTCCCCTAACCAGTTAGCAACCCAAGGCCTCTTCCTGTTATTTGAAATGTGAACAATATTAATAGGCACTGACACAGATAAAAAAGTTCCTTACAAAACATTCTAACAGTTTTTAAAAAACATTTTGACATCTCTACTAGTAAATGTAAAACAGATTTGAAGCAAGCTCCAGAAGTTTGAATGCCCGTCCTTATCCATTCATCTGAGTCCAGCACTGAACTTTCATTTACTTACTATCAATAACTTAAGTGTTAGGAAAAGCATAGATGCAGATAGCAACACATACCAGTCTACGAATTTCTCTCTCACACTCCCTCTTAATTCTGCTGATTTCCTCTTGATGCAGGTGATACACACTCCTTATCTCCGCTGCTTTAATTTTGTCAGCTTGGATGACCATTGTTAAAGCCTCTTCCACTTGTTTCTTAGCCCCTTTCAGCTCTGAAATTTCTTGCTGCATTTTTATTTTCTCAACTTCAAACCCCTTCTTGGCCTCCTCCTTCGCCTCTGTGAGCAGCACCGTTTTCACCTTGTCAGGAGCCCCATCGCGCACAGCATTGAGAAGGGTCTGTAGTCTCTGGATTTCATTATCTTTAATTTTTATTACTCTAAGTAGTTCAGCTTCATGCTGTCTCAAAAGTGCTTCTCGAACAGCTTGGAGCTCCTTCATTTTCTCTTCATGAAGTTTGACTTTGAGCTCCGTTACCACCACTGTACTTTTATGCTGTTCGTGCTCTTTGATCTGTTTAACTTCCTGATTTTTCTCTCTTTCCAACTTGCTGACCTACAAGGAAAGTAAAAAAAGCACAGTAGTTTCAATCAACAAAATGATTAATACAAATCACAATATTATTTTAAAATGGTACAGATCACTTTTCAATATTAGACCTTAATGTTGTATGTCTGTGCCTTAGAGTGAAAGCCCAACTTGGTGAGTCAGCATTACCACACGCAGACCTACAGGATTGGCATTTTGTTCATTCTTTATGATCTAATACTTTATTACATACTAAACATCCCTTTTTTAAGGAGGTTCCAGGTAAAACTAGGGTCACTGAGATCTGCTGCACAGCCTTCATGCTGTAGACTTACAAAAGAGCAATTTCCTTTCATGGTGTGTTTTGTGTGAAGAAAATACACATTACAAACTCCTGTAAAACGTTTTCACAGGGAAAAGTTTTTTTACAATTTATGGCAAATACTTTCAATGCACTGCCACAGCTGTCGTTGGACAGGTTTGGCAGATACCTGTGGGGATCTTTAGTAACGCAATCAGCAATGCAGTCAGGGGGACTTGGGCCTGTAAAAGTGATTTTAAATCTGCCACAAATACTGCGGGGACAACTCTGCCTCAGCCCTGACAGACCTGTCCCCTCTCCAGAAGCATTAGCGAGTGTTCACCTCAGCATTGATACAGCCACTGCACCTCCACATCAATCCAAATCAAGAGTGGCAATGACTAAAACCCTGACAATACAACCTGTCCTCAGGGTGGCTGTGGCTACGAACCACCACTCTTAATTAGGCACTAATGAAAGCTTACTGTCTGTAATTCTGTCCGTTGCACTAGTGACTGTGCAGCCCTGCTTGGGGGTGACGTGTGTGCATACACACGAGAAGAGCTGGCAGAGTCGGCAGGTGGTCATCAGTCATTTTCTGGGCTACAAATGAGAATTGTGTGTCTTAGGGGAAAATACGACCCACCTCAGCTTTTTATTGAAACAGTTGCTGTGTAGTGGCAGGTTTTGCACCAGAAGATATTCCCAGCATGTATTTGTTGTAGCATTTGCAGTGTTTGCATAGCTGACCCTCTCCTTCGGGCAGGCTTATTCAGAGGCAGGGAGTGCACGTCTGTTTGCTCTCTCTTTTCTGCCCTACAAGTTTATCAGAACAGCCTGTGCCCATATTTAAATGCTAAAATTAACAAGTGGATATCCACTACATTGTATTTAATTACTGAAGTGTTTATTGGGAAACATGTTCTGGTCAATTCTGTTCAGTAAAGATGCATTTTTCTTCCTCAGTTGACACAATAAGGTTTCCTTGCTAAGAATATGCCTAAGCCTCCCTCACAAATGAGAGCACTGCGGAACCAAACCATGCGGGTGTAAAGAAAAAACTGCGACATTAGGGGGACTCTGAGAATTCCTCTAAGGAAACAGTAATTCATGAAAAGAAGAAAAAGAACCCTGACAAATTTGTAGAGAAGACTTTTCTTTCACTGGAAAACAGCATAAGCAGGAATATCCGCATATTTAGAAAAAGAGAAACAAAAATGTATCATTATCATTTTGCATATTATTGATATTGAGGGTGGAAGCCTAGGCACCAATGCTGATTTTAGCATCATATTCTACCTTTATAATTAAATAATAATCCCTTGCAATCTTACGTAGTCTTTAATTTGCCCAATTCAGTGCCCTAAAAAACATAAGATAACACAATATAAATAAGTATCATAAATTTATGCAAGAAGCACAAAACCCAGGTGAACTAACCATCCGTATCCAAACACTACAGGAAGTATATGCTCAGAAACTAGGCTCATGTGTATGTAAGAGGTGCTAGAAACAGACTAACGTTTAGGATAACACACATTTAGGAATTAGGCAGTATCTTGTGGAGCAAGTCTGAGTCCTTACTTTCTTGTGAGCTGAATATCTGCAGAAGCTCTCACACCACAGCCTCAAAAGAATATGTGAGAAATCAGATGCTAAGCCATTATTTTGGCACGCTCAGGCACACAGATCCAGACTGCACTGGGCACATATGCATATGCAAGACATAAAAAACTCTGTGCAAGCTACGGTGAAGCCCCAAACAATTGCATTTTATCAGATGCTTTTCAAGCAATTAATTATTCAGTACCAATAACCAACTGTATCTGACCACAGAATGGTCAAATGACATTTCAATTTAAAACCATATCATAAACTCAAAAGAAGCCATGATGAGAAGTGGCTGGGGAGGACATGGAGAAAGAAAACAGGGTCCTCAGTCTTAAAACTGAAAATGCTGCTTCACAACAAAAGGATTAATAGATCTTCTATTTATATATATATACACACACACAGCCCCCTTAGAAGCTTCCTTGAAAATTGGATTCATAATCTACAATGCCTAATAATGATGCAAATTAATGGAAAAATGCAGAATATCATTCTGACCCTGCAGGGTAATGCATGTCTCTATTAACATTCTGGAACCAAAAAACCACCCAACTTTATGGTAGAAACTAATTTGGGGGATTAGGGAAAAGAAAATAAATTTTTCATGCCCTCACTGAGAAGTGGTCTGAAGGCTATGGCTGAAAGCTCTTAAAGCTGAGGCTCAAGCTGCATGCTCTCTCAAAGGCTCAAGGTGAAACTGTGGCTCCTTAAACTTTGGCAATCAGAGCAGAAGGAAGAGCTGAGACCTATTACTGTACATCTGGAAATTGTAAGCAGACAGTTTGAATGATTTTGGGCATAAAATCCAAGCAAAATTAGTGTAAATGTGAAAGAGAAGAATCAGCAAAGAGAATTTCTGAGTAACACAAAATTGCATTCAAAACCCCCAATGTAGCCATCCTCATAAATAGGTTAATATTTACTAGAAAAAGTTGTAGTGAGAGAAACAAAGGACATGGACACCTTTCAACCCACCACTCTAATTATACCATCTGTTTTGAGCAGATGTTTGTTTTTCCACATCTTTTGCTGGCATTCAGCTATGCGATTTTTCAACTTCATTTCTTCCTGGATGGTGGGAGCAAGCATGCTGCCTGCGGCTGAGTCCTGCCTGCCCAGGGACTGGCCATCCTCACTGCTCAGCTTCCCAAGCGAGAGCCGTTCCACCAAAGCACCCTCGCTTTCAGAGTTCAGTTGTACCATACGCATGTTATAAAGACAAGGAGAGCAATTTAAAATTCTGCAATAAAGGGGTTGCCTCTCGTTTCCCACAGAAGGCTGGCTCCAGGTGCATGCACTTTGATTTACTGTCAAGTCAAAGTCATGTACAAGTCAGCTACGAGGGGGGCAAAGAGGGGTTAGGAGTCAGAAACAAGAGGCTATCTTTATTGTAATTAATGGGGGAAGGAAAGGAAAAGATGCACACCTTACTCTTTTCTTGCTGGAGCTCTATCTGGATGTCGGTGAGCTTGGCCCTGAGCTCTTCATTGGCAGCCTGCAAGGCGGCCAAGGTGTCCGGCTTCTCCCCCCTAGCTCGGCTGCTGGTGCCCTTCTTGGACATGGTGAGGCCGCGTGGCAGGGAGGGAAGTCCCGCCCGGAGGCCCTTGTCCCAGCGCTCGCTCGGGGCTTCTTGTCCTTGCCTCTGTCCCACTACATTTTCTTACTTGCCTGGAAGGAGGGAAATCACATAACCACTGTCAGAGTGCCGGAGGTGGGTAGGCGATGCAATACCCACCAAACGTACGGTGAGGCACATCTCTAGAAAGCATGAAGCACAGGTCAGCCAGCTAAAGTGGCTCTTCCCTGGACGAAGTAAGAGCTAGACACAGTCAGGTGTAATAATATCTTCTATTACACCCGTATAGAGCAAAACATTTAAGTCACAAACTATAAACGTTTTCTGTCACTTCATTTCCACAGGAATGCACACAGTGCAGAGGATGCAGATGTTCGGGAGGGACATCCGAGCACTGCCTCCTGGCACCGTCACAGCTTGGAGACAGCAACAGCTGGGAAAACTGTCTTCAGTGCAGGTAGAATACTTTTAAGTTCTTTAAAAAAAAAGTCTTAAGAAAAACAATGTTTGGTTTCCTATAAACACTTTTCAGATATTCATAATGCAAATAATAAAAGTAAAAAGAAAAGCAAGAAGCTACAGAAGCAAGCAGAGATTACCCAAAGGCAACAGAAGCTTTCTATAAAGGAGTGTGCAGTGTATCACCAAAACAGCAATTAAGATTTATATAGGTTTATCTAAGCCTGGTAACAATGTCGGAGTTTTATTCACTTTAAGAGGTTTTGAGTCAAAGCTAAGCAAAGAAAACTGAGACAAGCAAATTCATTCTACTGAACAGTGGAGAACTGGGCGAAAGTGGACCCAACTTCACAGAATTCATATATTAATATGGTTTGTGCTCTATGCCTACCCATTAATCCCAACACATTCATAAACTATACAGCATACACACTTTATAGTGATAACTTCACATGTGTCAACAAAACACATAATATTAAGTACAGTGTTAAAAGCTACATGCATTTGTTGATTTTTATTTCAAAATTCTCCAACAGAGAGTTTGCTCATGAATAAAGAGCAGCATTCTGGAATGGGTAAGCATTCTTAAAGTCTGTAGAGACTGTGCCAAATTTAGAACCTCATATTATCAACGAAACTCCAAGGTCCTTTATGATCAATACTATTAAGGAAAGAATATAAGAGTTATTGAAAACTCGTATCCTTGCAAAAACCATATTCTAGCTTAGTATAACTGTCAGGCATAGGAAGCTTAAGAGAAGACACAAATTCACTCCAAAGAATTTGCATTCTGAGAGAAAGACATATAAAGGTTGGGAGAAAGATGATAATTTTATCTGTTAATGCCATTTTTATGCTGCATCCATCCCATGGTTCAGAAAACTCTATCAGAGTTCTATGTAAATAAATAATTAACCTATTCATCATATCAAATTAAATCCCTGTGATCTGTGAATTGTCTACACAGAGGTGAACTTGACTGACGGCATCACAGTTTGTCCTTACTTCATTGGATTCATTTTTTAGAGCGGTTGCTGCAGACAGACAGTCCATTAATATTATGCAGCTGATCACTCTGTGCTGAACAAGTCAGTAGGAGGGCTTTCAGGTTGCTGTCAGTTCTTCCTCTGATCAGTATTTAACTCAGTGTCCATCAATAGCATGAACAGATTTAATTTAATAGAAACCTGAGGACAGCAAGAAATTCTGGGCAAAACGCTGCGTCCTGGAGGCTTTGTTTAGCTCTGGAGCAGTGCAATGTAGGTACTGTCTGCTCTATTCCCAAAACATCGATGATTCCCCAGTGTTTCTTTCACACTTTGTATACTTTCTGAAGGATCTTCTCTTACAACAGCATTCCTTTGTCAAAGCACTATGGTATGAGAATCCCCATGCTGCTGCACAAGCTCCTTGATAATGATCCCATGCAATTTTTCAATCTCTGGCTATAGACTATAGCTGTGAAAACTCAGTTCATTCCTATTTAAACGATAAACAGCAACACACGCAAAGAAACAGTTGCCTCTGCTTCTCTAGACAAAGCTGACTCAATATCAAAGTTTATTTTAAAATTGTCTATGAAACAAATTAATGGGAATGAAATCACAAATGAAACACCTAGAGGACCAGCTAGCAAGCTCACATAAAAGATACACACTCATGGTAACGTAAAATGTGGCAACACCATCAGCAAAGAGAAGGATCAAGATAATATTCAGAGAACTGGATGATCCTAAACACCGTAGTGACAGAGGAGGTACGAAAGTCAGTCGGATAAAGGGTCTGTCTTTCCACAAAGATCTCAGACAAGACTTGGGCCGACTTCTGACCCAAGGACGAGGACAACATGGTTTTGTTGTTTTGGAGCGAACAGCAGAACAGATCGGGAATTTTACAACAACATGTAAATGTAAAGAAGAATGTAAAATCTGATGAAAAATTGTTTCCCTGGAAAACTTTGACTTGCTTAGATAAAACTATTTCCTGAACAGATTACATGTATTTCTCAGTTCAAAAAGTTACTGGGATTCATCGTTAACCGTCACTACATTTCTAGTTTGAAGTAAATCCTTGTTTTAAAGATCTGTTTAAGTTATACTACAAAAATACACAAAAAATCTCAAATTTTGGAAAATATTTCCAACTTTGTTAATACTAACCTTATTAATGTGGATAATAATCTTTTTGGACGATGACCTTCAATGCATTGGTTTATTCATCACGACTCATAGTCAAAACCACAACAGAGCAGCACTATTCCCTGTCCAAGCACGAGTAAAGAGGCTTAACTGTTCAGGGCAGCTGTAATAATAAAATAACAATAAATAATAATAGTAAAATAACAATATAATAATAATAGTAAAATAAAAATGTAATAATGATGATGATGATAATAATAATAGCAGCCTGGTTTGAATTCTAGGAGCAAAAACCTGCATTTATTAGGGAGAAAAGAGCAGAGGGAGGCAGCTGCCTCAGGGGATATATAAATGGGATACGAAGCTAGGAGAGGGCTGAGAGTATCCGGGAGAAGTGGCTGGGGTTTGGGAGTAACCAGGCAAAGCTGCTGAGAGCCAGGGAAATCAAGTAGAACAAGCAATCTCGACAAATCTACGCTGGGCCAGAGTAAGAGTGGGGAAGGTGAGACTTAGAGAAAAAAGTGGGGGAAAAAAATAAAATTCCTGATATTAGTTGACCAAACCAAGGTAGTGCAAACAGTTTTAATTCTGTTGTTTCTCAGTCTGATGCTTGACTTTGTAGCCTTGAAGATTCTATAAGAAGAAATGTGTTTGGCTGGACAAAGAAATAGGAAAAAAAAATTTACAGATACTGCCTGAAAAACCTATAAGCAGGAGTAGATGTTCTTCACATTCAAGATTCTTGCTTCTTTGTGTAAGAAGATGCAATTCATCAGTCATCTACAATGGAGGTCTTAAAAAACCCTCTTTCTTTATAGTTAAAAAAATGGGGCAGTCTAGAACCACCGGCACTGAATTCTGCCTACTGCGATGAACGAAGCATTTGTGCATATTACAGTTATTTTCTTAAATGATATGTTACACTGATACATGCTGTAGGTGGAGCCAGGTCATTTCACAACCTGAGGAAATGAGAAGCACCATAATACAAGCTTTTAACTGCTTACATTTGAATGTCAGACAAACAATAATTTGAACGAGACAGGGATTTGTGAGGATCATTTCATTCAGAAGGATTATTTTTGACAGACAAGGGCTACAAGATTATTTGTTTGTTTGCTTACAGAAAACAAAACTAAGGAACTGATACAAGTAAACCGAAAGGCAAAAATGTTATTAGAGGCATGCTAGAAGCAGCGCAACCCCAGCAGCTATTTGCTGGGAGACAGCGCATGGTAACAGTGCAGAGTGGTCAGATACCCTGTGCACACACTCCCCAGGTGTCCCTGTGAATCCAAGTAGCAGAAGATCAACTGTTTCGCTACCATGTGCTGGTATTTTCTCAGAGAACCCCTCAGGAGCATCACACCGAGGAGCAAACCATCCTGCCATCTCCCCTGCAGAGCTGGGGACCTGTGTCCAGCTGGGACTGTGTCCAGTTCTGGGCTCCCCAGTTCAAGACAGACAAGGAACTACTGGAGAGAGCCCAGCGGAGGGCAATGAAGATGATGAGGGGACTGGAGCATCTCCCTGGTGAGGAAGGGCTGAGGAACTGGGTCTGTTCAGCCTGGAGAATAGAAGGCTGAGAGGGGATCTCATCGATGTTTATAAATACCTTAAGGGCGGGTGTCAAGGGGATGGGGCCAGACCCTTTTCAGTGGGGCCCAGCGACAGGTTAAGGGGCACCGGGCACAAACTGAAGCTCAGGCAGTTCCACCTGAACGTGAGGAAGGACTTCTGTACCGTGAGGGTGGCCGAGCCCTGGCACAGGCTGCCCAGAGAGGCTGTGGGGTCTCCTTCTCTGGGGAGATTCAAACCCGCCTGGATGCCATCCTGTGCAACTGCTGTAGGTGACCCTGCTTTGGCAGGGGGTTGGACGGGTGATCTCCAGAGGGCCCTGCCAACACTGATTGTCCTGTCAGGCTGTGGTTCTGTAATGGTTGCTAAGCACAATTCGCTTGGTGGGAATTCTGTCTGAGGTCAATTTGTAGCACCACGTGTCCTCATACTTTCAGTGTTTAAGCTTTTAAATTTTGTTTAAAATGTTACCAAGGTTTAATTGTATGAGTTGACACATTTCATGCCAAGCATCTACCTAAATCTGATTTTTCTCTACTAAAAATAAAATTTAAAATTGGTTAGCTTATTTCAAGAAAGAAAGGCTTGTATTGCAATGTTTGCTCTGAGCAGGTTGATAAAACCTTTAAAGAAGATCTGAAACATTATCAGCAAGGTGTTCCCTGTTATTCCATAAAAGCAACCCAAGTGCAGCAAGCAGAACGCCTGCCAGAGGCTGCACTTGCCCACCCTCAGCCAAGTTTGCTAAGGCTTCACTAGCCAAAGTTACTGCCTGTACCTGGCATCCATCCCGCTCAGAAATTAACGCCA